TGAATACGATTATCTTTTATCGTCTGTCTATACAAATTGATTGCCATAGTTCACCATATTATATTGTAAAAAATATTTTCATTACATGTTGATTAACTCACACATGACAATCTGTGTTTTGGGGTTTAGCCAAACTAAAAAAAAACGTGTATGCTATAGTTCCATTCTAGATTTACTTTTGGCCTGATTTTCAGACCTATGTCCCTAAAACTCTGCTTGAAAAAGTAAAATAACAAAGATATTGAGAAATATTTTAGCATTTGAAGTTTATACCCTAGAAACCGCACAGATGTATGTAAAATTTTGCCATGGTATTATATTCCAGCAAGTGTGCACAAAATTCGAATGCGTGGACCAAGCTTAATAACATCATCTTACTTTCCTAATGGTTAGTATTTTGCAGTTTAGTTCTACTAGTCTTGTTTTTATATATTCTACTTACGTATTCAAACATATTTAAGTTAAAAATGTTTTTCAGCCGAGTCTGCAACCACGAAAGAGCATTTTTATGTCTCGTTGAAGTATCGAAGCAAAAACATGAAAATGTCAATAACCTTGAAGAGAGTCAGCTGTTATGTGACCGAACTAAAGTGAAAATCAGGTGATCATATGACAATGTATTTCCTCCCAGAGAAATATTAAATTCATTCAATTGATACGGATCCATATCGTTTATTTACCAAACATACAATTTTTTTTACATTGGACAAATTTAAAAAAATGTAAAATCCTTTAAAATCTCATCATTCGGCGCACAACTTGCCATGCCCTGTAGGTGTTTTCTAAAAATCTCGTCAACTTGAAATCAACCTCTGCTTCGGGCAAATGTCTCGACGTATCGGAGTTGTGTGGGAACGAATTTTGTTCAGTTAGCTTATATTATTGCGTTGATGTCATTTATCTCAAGTTCCACGAAACGTTCAAGGCATTGGTGGGCTGGTAGCGCATGGTAAGCCACTGGCGATTCGCCGACAACGCTACGTCACTGTTCTCGGTTATGTTCTTGTCCCACATCATGACTCTGCGCCGGCTAGGTTTCGCCGGATTTTGGTCGGTCGTTGCTTGGTACGTCATGCGTGACGCGACCATTGCCGAGCGCTGTCCCGGAGATTTCACCTTCATCATGAACACACGTATGGTCTTGCGCGTGCCCCGTAACAATATCAGCCACATCATATTGTCCCGATCGTCTTTGAGCAGATAGGCTTTACGGCGTCGATCGGCCATCACGGTCTCGATATTTGGAATCGTCAACGTGTTGCCCTGGTGAACGCGCGTTTTTAGCTGTTAAATTCGGTTATTGAAAAACAAAAACATTCGTGCAAGTGCCATACCTGGACGGGAAGAACGCAAGTCGGGTGAACGGAAGCAACGTGGTCGTAGATCTGCGTGCTCATTCCGGACCACTGGCACGTGGACACGAAGCATTTAACGTCCGGTGCGTACATGCAAGACGCCTCGTGCTCGTCCAAGTCGTACACGGTCACCAGTTCTCGGCATCCGTTCGGACGGTAGCTGCACGTGGTCTTCATTGTTTTCCTAATGCTCGTCATAGCCGTTTCAACGGCCGTCGTCACGTAACCCGTTTCGGACATAGGCGACCGGCACATCGGGCAACTAGACAACACTAACCGACGGTAACACGTGTCGCAGACCGCATGCCCGTTGGAACAGCAACACCGAACCCGGCACGCCAACGCCAGGCACACCGGACATTCCAGAGCCTTGCGGATCAGCTCGGCCATAGCTTCTAAATCTTCCGCCATGGCAACAATTTTAATTATAAATACTTAGGCAACTTCGACGCTGACGCGCAAGGATAGTTGATGATTGACTATATAGTAGAATTTTACCGATTTCCAAATATTGTTGTTGTTATAAATAGTCATAACAGCCAGCATTATTTATTTACTTATTAATTCAAACGCTCGCTAGGGTACACAAAAAAAAAGGACAATTGAGATATATCACAGACCAGTTCACAGTCGAGACGCTTGTCATTCCTATTCTTCTTTGGCTTGCTTCTATTAAAGTACTAGTTCTGGGTTATACCGACTCCCTGTTTAATAATTTTATTCGCATGTATATATCTTGTAACACCTAAACTTAAAACATCTAGGCAAGTCCGACATCACATTGCTTTCTGACTTCTTACGACTGGTCGAATTTTACCGATTTTCAAATATTATTATTATTATAGTTATAACAGCCAGTATAATTTATTAACTTATTAATTCAAACGCTCGCTAGGGTACAAAAATTGACAATTGAGATATATCACAGACCAGTTCACATTTTACACACTTGTCATTCCTATTATTGTTTGGCTTGCTGCTATTAAATTTAACTTACTTGTTTTTACTTCGCTCTGGGTTTCTGCCTGCTAAACAATATCATCTGCTTATGCCAGGTAAATATTGTTTTCTACTGGATCCATGGTCAAATATCATAAGCATAATTATTTCACTATATTATTTTTACAAAATATTTTTTTTTTAAGTCCATGCCAAATTTATGCTCGTCTATGGCGCTCTACATGCTGTATCGTATGTGTACATTTAATTGTGAAATACTACTAGATATTGTCAGTATTTGAAGATTAAAAGTACAAAGAACAAAGACGAGGATAATGTTCTTCTTTATCCGTTGTAAACATTTTAAACGGTTTCTGAAAATACCGCCCTCACATACTAATTATCCCCATCAAAACCAGTTTTCGTGGATAAATTACGGGCGTGTAGCGTCATCTTAAACTTAAACCGCTAAAGCATGAATTTATATACATTTGATGATGAGTAAGTGAGAGATGAATCAGTCAGTAACAAAAATGCAAACTTTGAATTTCTTCCCTTTTGAAAATGCTTAATGTTCAATTTCTCAATATAAGCTACGTAAGCGTAATCTCTGCATCAAATTTTAAAATCCTATCTTAAGTGGAAGCAGAAATATGAGGGTTAGAAAATCAGGTAAATTAGTTCATGTGAAGATATTCTGGTATTGCTAAAACTTGGCTAACCCACTGCTGTGCGCTCAGTTTCGAATTTGGCTAATTTAAAAAATTGGAATTTTTTAATAGTTTACAAATGTTTAATGTTTCTTCTGGCATATATCAAAATGTACGAGTATATGGACTCCGGACGGAACTAACATTATTTAGTGTCAATACATCATGTTTCAATTACGACTTTGCTTTTACTGAAACATAGTTTTGCACATGATTATGATTAATGAACTGGGTATGAATTTAGAGTATTTGATAAATTATTGTTTTTTTCTTATATACAGAGGACAAATATAGACTATATATAGTAAACTATACTTTGAGGATTGTCAGCCACAATGCCATTGAAAGATTAAGAGTAAGGGAAACTTGGAGAAGACCTTATATTTTTTATAAAATACGAAAATCTATTCGGGTTAGTTTTATGGGAGTGTTGAGTGAAATTGAAATAATTGGAATAATCACTTTTACTTTGATTTTTGCATTGTGTACGAAGTGAAGATAATTTAAGATAGTCATGTGGTACGTTAGATTTTTATAGAGTGCATGTGCAATGTTTTCGTTTTCGATTAAATTTGCTAGAGAACCAATTGAGAAATTTATTACTAACATATTTTTATTTTTTGGAATATACAAGCTCATGGTAAAGAATACAAGAGAGTAAAAATGTTCAGCATTTAAAGCAATATTATCACTAAAATGAGGGACGGCTATCTAAACTATGGAAGTATAAAATTATAATTACGTTTTTTCCAATCAAAGAAAATCTAAGAAAATGGAGAATGCAAATATTGTCAGTGAGTAAACAATAAGTTAAATTTAATGAAGGTTGATAATTATCAGTAGGAACTACATTATCGGAAAGAGGACTAATATGAGCTGAAAAAGAATTTGTTAAAACAAGATTAACCATTCTATTTTTATGATTGAAAATGTCATTTTTTCGTAGTAAATAAACATCATTTTTCAAGAAAAATATTTCCAAAGGAAGCAAGATTAAAATCTAATGACTTTATTTAGAGTTGGCAAGTAAAAATCACCAAATGGTTATAAATCTGTATCAAGATAGATTTAAAAAAGTTGTTCGATAACATTGAAATATTCAGTAAGTAAATTAGAATTAGAGCCTGGAGGGAATAAGACAGAACTAATAATCATTTTTCTGAGTTATTTAATTTAATTAGAATGAAATAAAATTGTAAAGATTATAATTATAATTATAGACCAATATCTAAATTTAAAACTCCTTTATGTATTAATACATATTTTTTACTAAGTAAGCAACATGGGTTCATCGTGTCAAATTTACATTAACTAATTCACTTGTGTTGTATTCTTATCTAGTAGAAATCGTCGCTTCGGGTGGCCAAGACGATACTGTATACACTAACCATCTTGAGGCTTTTAATTAAAGTTTACCACTATCTTATTTTGGCTAAATTACGTAAACTAGGTATAAGGGGTCCATTATTATCGTGTTTTTTTTTACTAATTTAAGTGAACGGTCACAATTAGTATGGATTGACACATTTATTATTGCTTACAAATGTCATGAAAATGTTGCCTAATCACTCTACTGATAATACACTCTCCAACATGATTCCGATATACTTTCTGAGTGGTGCACATCAAATAGCATGTCTTCAAATACCTCATTTTGTTTTTTCATTGTCATTCAGGAGAAATATTAGAATTTTTCAATTTATTGGGATCAATATGGTTTGTCACAAAAATTTTAAAATTTTAACGTTAAATAAATTTTAAAAACTGAATTTGGTCAAAGGATTTCCATATTTTCAAATTTCACTATCGCGAAAACTAAATAACTGTTCATGTGTTAACTTAGGCTTAAATTCCAGCCTATCGTATCGCTCCGTAATCACCATGTCCCGTAGGACTTTTCTAAAAATTCGTTCTGCTTTACAGCCATCTTGTTTGTTCTGGCATTCTGGTCGACTTGGAACCAACCTTAAACCAACTTTTGTTGAGTTTATGAAATTTATCTGATGTTCCAAGAAACGTTCAAGTCGTTGCTGGGCTGAGCGCGCACAACAATAAATTGGCGCGACGCCGAAAACGCCGCATCGCTGTTCTCGATCACGTTCTTGTCCCACATCATGAGTCTGCGCCGGGAATGTTTCGCCTGACTTAGGTCGGTCGTTGCTTGGTACGTCATGCGTGACGTGACCGTCGCCGATCGCTGGCCCGAAGATTTCACTTTCATCATTAACACGCGTGTGCTTCTGCGCGTGCCCCGGAACAATATCAGCCACATCATATTGTCCCGTTCGTCTTTGAGCAGATAGGCTTTACGGCGTCGATCATCCATCAAGGTCCCGAAATCTGGTATCGTCAACGTGTTGCCCTGGTGAACGCGTTTTTAGTCGTTAACTGCGGTTATTAGGGAGACGAACAAAAACGTTCGTACGCAATACCTGGACGGGAAGAACGGAAGTCGGGTGAACGGAAGAAACGTGGTCGTAGATCTGCGAGCTCACTCCGGCCCACTGACACGTGGACACGAAGCATTTAACGTCAGGTGCGTACATACAGGACACCTCGTGATCGTTCACGTCGTGCACGGCCACCAGTTCTCGGCATCCGTTCGGACGGTAGCTGCACGTGGTCTTCATGGTTTTCGTGATATCCGTCAACGCCGTTTCAACGGCCGCCGCCACAAAGATCGTTTCCGACAAAGGCGACCTGCACATCGGGCAAGTGGGTGATTCGTTCATCTCCAACCGACGGTAGCAAGTGTCGCACACCATGTGCCCGTTGGAACAGCAACACCGAACCCGGCACGCCAACGCCAGGCACACCGGACATTCCAGAGCCTTGCGGATCAGCTCGGCCATAGCTTCTAAATCTTCCGCCATGGCGACAATTTTGATTATAAATACCTAGGCAACTTCGACGCTGACGCGCAAGGATAGTCGATCGACTAGTAGAATTTTACCGATTTCCAAATATCGTTGTTGTTATAAAAAGTCATAATAGCCAGCATTATTTATTTACTTGTTAATTTCAACCGCTCGCTACGGTACACAAACATAAAAAATGGACAATTGAGAAAATTTATCACAGACATTGCTCCCAAACAACGCACTTAACCCATTGTGTTTCCATTATGATTTCTAACTAGATTAAATGAGTGTCACAATAGAACCGTCCAATAATGACTCCGGTCAATAGAGTCATGAACTAGCCTAAAACAAAGAAATATTGAGTATTCTCCTTTAATAATTAAATAATTATATCACTATCACATACATTCAGACTAAATACAAAATACTTTCACTCGTATTTATTAAAAAACAATAATATGTTCAGAAATATTATTGTTCAACACTTTCATAAGAAGTGGATGTACGGATAATATTAAAGAAGGGTGTCGTTTTATTCGAAAAATCAAGCGTGGAGATAATTTTTGTAACATTTTGCCGGAAAACTGAAATACATCCCTATTAAGTTACGACTTGACCTCTGAGCTAATGAATGACGTCTTCGTGGTATCGTTTTTAGATTTGTGATACCGAAAAAATAGTACCGTTATGAATTATTAGCAGAATAACAAATACTATCTCACATGACAACTTTATTCACAGTGCCTAAGGGAAATCTTTTACGGCTTAATAATCATTATCCGATGATTTAGAGATGTCGTATTTAAAATGTTATAAACAAGTCTTGTTACAGGCGTTATTAAAACGGTATTTTTATTTTTTTTGTATACGTAAATTAGCCACGATAATTGGATAGTTAAATTTTGTATTACACAATAGTTAGGCCCTTTGGTTTGTGCTTGATGAAAATGAGTACAAAAAGTTTGACTAGGCCTCGAATTTTTTTGTAGTATGGCGAATAGTTATAATATTTTTTTTTGGAAATTAGCTTATGACCACAGATACTTTCGGAATTTTCGGTCTGGATTTGACAAGTCCTATATTTTTTTTGGTTACTAGTTCGTCGAACATTTTTTGCTGTCTGACCTCACCGAGCGCTTCAGTCGTTACCGACGTTTGTCGCATGTCCAAGAACCGGAATTTGAGCAAACGTTTTAGATGATCGCATGCAACCGTCACGCAGTCTAAGGACCAATGATTGTTGTACACGTCGAGCAACGAGTCGGCCAGCTTACCAACGCTAGTTCCCAGTCTGGGGACACGTCCGTCAACGATAATCCGACCTATGAACTTTTCGGCTTGCAAACATAGCATAGCGTTTTTACTGCGTACCAAACGACTCAGTTGGTGAATCATTCGGCTCTGTACGCTTGACCATTGTTCGGGTTCACAGCATTCGTACAGACAGAAAAGAGATGCCAGCAACGTGATATCCACTTTGGAATCACCGTTTGCCGGCCAGTTTTTCAACACGCAATCCATGCAATGAGTGGCCAGTGCGGTATGCGACTTGACAGCAGATTCCAGGCATTCGTGAATGGCATCTTGATAATTGCACAACGACGTGTGCTTGATCAACACGGGAAGAACCTGAGCGACAACGGTTTGATTCACTCAAAATCATTGAATCCTATTCAAAGCGTACTCACTTTGGTCAAAACGTTCTCTGGAACTAACGCGCATTCGATAAAATCTCTGAGCAAGCATAACAAAACGTCGATCCCTTTGAACTCTTTGATAAACCCATAGCCAAAATCGGTGAGCATGTCGACAATGGCGTTAAGAAGGTCCTCTCTCAGGTACCTAGTGACGCAAAACATGGTCGTCATGAGTTCTTTGACCATACTACGTTCGGCATCCAAACAACTGTCCAATCGCTGTACCAGAGCGTTGACAAATCTTTTATCTATAAATTCAGATGCTTTTGCCGATTCGAAGCATTTGATCCACAAAAAAGCGTTAAAGGCGTTGTACACCGCATTGGTTTGTTGGAATTCCCAAGTCATCTCTGAATTCTCCTCGCCTTCATAAACATACGACGATACTGGCAACGGCCGAAAAATATTTTCAGCGAACATGTCTTTATGAAAAATATAAAATACCATATAAAATTTAAATTACCAAGTAACATATAATTATACTTTTTTCGTATTAACTTTAATTCAATGTGTTTTAAAAAATATCGCAAGAAGTCAAAATAATCTAAGTTTGCTATATTTTACTTAAGACGGATAAATTGAACTATTAATATTGAAATAATTGTTTCTAACCCAAGAGGGATTATTTCTAGCAAATTTAAAAATCATAAGACAAACAAGAAAGGATATAAAAACTTCTTATGGCTTCTGAATTTAACGTACTCAGCTATTAACATTTACCGCATAATCGTTGATATACTTCGGATGGATACGTTTCCGGGACACGTTGTTTGTCCCAAATTTCGCAAAGTGCCTTAAGACGAGCGAATTTACATACCAACTGATAGTCAATCGTCGGACGATTGCTTAGGGCCAGCGGATAATACATAGAACATTCCCAAATCGTTTTCGAGATGCTGTCAACGGGCACGAGTTTATCTTGGTCGTGGATTGTCTCACCGGCCATAGCACCTCGTTTTTGGGACAGGGAAGGGATTGGAAAAGAAATCACTTGGGACTCCGGTAATACGAATTTTTTTTTGTTGAAAATAACAAGCTATTGTTATATCCAAGTTAGTAGTCAATGGCGACGGTTTAAGTTGACTCTCACGCAGCTGTCTAGAGTTATACAGGTGAACAAGTTCTGAGCAATTAATATTTTTTTTAGACTTGGGTGTAATAAATTCAGAACATCGTACTCAAAGTGTATACGTGTAAACGGATTTAAGATTGGTTTAATACATACTGTGTTTTTGTTATAAAACGGAATAAAGTGTTTCAAATCATGAATAATTTAGGAACTAAATATAGAAACACAGTTTTTTTTTTATAATTAATATCACGGTCAAACAGAGAGTATTCAATTGACTGAGAATAAAGTACAGTATAAAAAGGCAACAAAGGCGTAAAATAAGTTTTTATACATACTTCCTCCACTACTTTTTAATATTATGTACATTCAAATTCTACTACAAAAATATGTAAGTAATTTTACTCAAGTAAACCAGTACCGTTTTATCAGTGCATAGTGGGGACGGAGAGGTCTACGGAAATTGTTATAAATAAAAAGTTATAACTTTATTTTAAAGTACCATTTTGAAACTATATTCAATCAATTGATGTTTTAATAAAACGTCCGCTAATTTAGCTATTTATAGTGGACTCAGGCTCATTTAACTAGTATTTGAATTTAATATAAGTTTATTTATGATATTGTATTGAATTTTATAAAAAAAAAAAAAATCATGGGCTTTGAACTTTTTATTTTCCACTAGAAATATATTCAAATTATATTATAAAAACAAAAAAATTATAAAACTTCACACACATACATACTAAGTAAAAGAATATCCTAAAACTATAAAATCCATCATTATGAAAGGAATTTTATGACATATTTTATCATATATTTTTTTTATATTTTGTTAATCTAAATGTTTTATGCGATTTCGTAAAACCTATTGATTTATTTCTATGTACGGATAATGTTATATTCTGTTAAATTATATTCGTTGTGGGATAAAAAAAAGAATAATAGATAGGAAAAGAGAAAAATGTGAGAGATTTATTTCACGTGTAGTATATTTTTAAGCTTGTATAAAAAGTTATAGAAACGTAGTTTGTAATTAATTAGTACTTGCTTATAGTTAGAAAACGAGCATATACACTATTTACATATTTAAGTGTCTTAAAAAAATACAGGCACGTGCAAGCGATTTTCCATGCTAAAAAAACATAAGTATGAAAATTAACTAAATGTGTGTGTTGTTTATTGTTTGACAAAAGAAAGCAAAAACGTAAACGACTTAACGACATGGTCTTTTTTTTTTGTATAAGCCACTAATAACTGAATTGGTAGTCCTAAACTGCTATTCTAGGTTATCCTTTTTTAAGCCTATCTATACATAACGCCATTTTGGATTTTTCCTCGTGTGCCCAGAACTACAATTAATATCAGTTGTAATGGGGAAAAAATCCGGGTCTACTTAAAATCCTTAAATTTGAGTGTTTACTGCATTTAAATACAAGGAGCAAATAACTTGTACATTCGTTCTCATTGCTCTTATTAATCTATTTATTCTCCAATTCAAATTAAACATCAATATATTATACTTTGAATGCACAATATTACATTCTGATAAAACGGAACAATTTTGATATTTTTACAAACAGTAAAATAGTTAATATTATAGTCCAACTTTTCCCGAAAAAAAACTAAATCATAGCGTGTAAATGAATTAAAATAATAAATTCAAATAAGCTGCTTGATTATATTAAAATGTATTTACGAATAGAAACTGTGATAAATACTATAATAATTCTCTTTGAGATCTTCTTATTTCTTCCCGCATGAATTTTGCCATTTTTTTTTCAGCGAATGGTACAGGATCGTACCCAGTTCCAATGCAAATGAACCTTATTAGGCACGTAAATAGCATGGAATCGATATTGTCTACAACAACAACAAAAATTAATGATTATTATTTAAAAAAATATACACAATGTATGTTTAATTGGTATACGTACTTAACTGATTCGAAAATTATTTTATTTATCAGGACTTTTCGTAAGGTTTTAAACGCCGGTAAATAGAACCGTGTGTCTTAGTATTTTGCAAAGTTATGCGAAATAAACAAAAATATTGTTTATTTTGTTTGTTATTTAATTAAAAAATAAAATCGGAAAACTTTTTCTTTTTACCAGACTCTTTCCTTCTTCGAGATGTACCCATTTCTTGTTGTGGTGGCGAAAATAAAATACAAATAATTTTTGAACCAGTTTTATATATAAAATATGGTAAGAATATAAACAGCAGTTACACATTGCACATTAGGACACCCCGAAAAATTAAAAAGTGACGAAATCGTACAAACACAATAGTACCTACACTCTTTTGAGTCTAACTTCACTTATATTACAAGTTACTTCTTGTAAATGCAAATTAGAATACTTCATCAAAACCAATAACTTCACTGTTTTGCATTCAAGCTAAGAAATAATAACTAAACGATAAATTAAATATAATTAATGGTTACCTATATTCAACCAATCGAGTTTGTAAATCTGGAAATACCCGTTTATTAATTCAATATGATCATCAGTGGGTCCCACAAACGCAAGAAACTGATTGATTGTAATATTTCCATTTGGGGGCACATTCAACCAATTTTTCAGGTATGTATAAGTGCGATGTATATTCTGAAATTAGTTTTTTTTATATAATTATACATGGTAATTCCTTAAGAATAACTCGTTTGGATTAAAATAATTGCAATTTTTTCTTTATTTCTTTTTGTAGACAAATTAGTCTTATGTTATTTTAAAATATTAGACCTCATTCAAACTTTATATATTTTTCCAGAATCTTGTCAACTATTGAAAAGTACATGGGAACTTATAAGTTTAATTAACTTTTTTAATTTAAAATAAATTGGATGAAAATTTAGGTTGGACGATAACCAGTTTTGTAAAAATTAGGTGAATCACCCTGTATATCGTTACATATAAATCTGATTATAAAATTCTGAAACATACTATAGAATAATATAATAGAATCGTAACACGTGTGACGTGATAAAAGTCAATCCAGACAAATACATTTATTAACAAAAACTATTTTTCTTTTATTAAATCATAAATTAATTAAATATTTATCCATATTAATTTTTCAATCTAAACTAAATTGGCTGTTACTTATAATTACTTAAGTAAACAAAATTAGTGTTATTTCGTTAATCATAAATTATAAATAAATGTTAAATTTATATTTTTGAATAATTATATTGGGAAAAGTTCTTTTTTTTAATGTTTTTTTTCTTTAGGTTTTTTAGCACCGGTCTAATATCTAGACACAATAGCACTTGAGCAAACACATATTTTTTTTTTTTTTGTACAAAAAAACAATCTATACAAAAATATGTACAATAAGTTTTTTTTTAATTATATTACAATGCTTAAATATCTTAGTATAATTATTTTTATACATCGTGATCTCAACTTTTCACAATTTTTTTGTTGTTACCCCCCTCCCAACTTAGTCTTTTTGATAGCAACTTTTGAAACTTAAATGGTAAAGTATATATTTTATTAACTTTTTAAATTGAAAATAATGTACTAAACATTTTGACTGGTCCATAACCAGTTTCGAATGACTATAGTTGAAGTTTTAAGTTTAGGGCAGGAGGAAAGGTGGAGTGTAGTATTATTTTTATCTGCGCGCATTTCCCAACCGCACTTCCCCTCCCATCCTAACTTTAAAACTCTTATAATTTAAAAAATAGTTATCCGAAACTGGTTATCGACCAGTCAACAATTTTAATACATTATTCTCAATTAAAAAAATTAATAAAATATATACGTTACCATTAAAGTTTCAAAAGTTGCTATCGAAAAAACTAAGTTGGGAGAGGGTAAAAACAAAAAAACAAATGTGGAAAATTGAGATCACATTGTATAAAAACAATACAAAAAAAACATTTAAATTTTTTATTAAACCCTATGAGATATTGAGTGGCTCATGATAAAAACTTGTAGAGATCAAACATTGACCAATACATTGGAATGTTACACAAATAATTATCATTGCCTAAATAAACATAATGCAATTACTAGGTTATCCATGGACGGTGGGATAAAATCCTGTGGTACACTTAGTACTGGACTGGAAATTAACACAAATGATAGAAACAAAGTTGGGAACATTTTATTACTAAAATGATCAAACTTTAGCTAAAACTTATAACAAAATGACTAATTTGTTGCTACTATAAAAGCCAGTTGTATAGTGAATTTAAAAAAAAAAACAATACACTGAACTATATTAATAGTTTACACAGCTATATAAATCAAACACTATATTTTAATATAATTCATACTCGACGCGAAGAGAATGAAATGGTTTTTACGGACAAGTGTTTTGAAAATACGTCACGCTGTGAAATATCAAAATCATTTTTCTTCAAAGTGAACTTTATATTCGCAACGAAAAAAAATAATAATCAAACAACGAATAAATATATTTTTTTATTGTTTCACATTGGAATGGGATTTTACCTGGAATTTGTTGGTTTTCATATTGTTTTAATATTTATAAAAATGAAATAAAGTTATAATTCAATCAATTATCTTTAGTGTCCGTTACTTGTTCTTAAGTAATTCTCAAAGAAATTCATATGACCGTTAATTTTTTTTACAGAGGTAATTTTTACATTATCGTCAGCATATCATTTTATTGAAATCGACGTTAAGTTTGAAATATGATGTTTGATGGACTGATTTGCAAAATTAAATTTCTAGATAACTTGTAAAGCACGCATAGTGTATAAAATTTGCTCAGCATTTTAATAACATAATACATACTACTTAGCAAATTTAGTATTGAAATTACAAAAAAATAAGTATGCCTTCACAGCTGTTCAAAACAAATAACGAAACAAAAAACTAAATCGGGTAATATCAATATATGTTTTCTACAAAAGCTATGCAAGTTAGCTACACTATTTTTAACATATAAACTACGAATTGTTTCAAATTAATATTACTTCATTATGCCTTGTCTCGTCCTGATTTTAGAGCAAAAATACTTGTACTTGATAACAATATTAAAATAGCTCTAATGTTATCGATCTAACCTTCACCCGTTTGTTCCAGTTTATAGCTTCATAGGTTTTTATACTACTCATAAGACGCGTGCTTCTTACCTGTCGGTCGATCCAATACCAGAATTTTGCCCGTGGAATGGATTTATAATAATACAAATAAGGGGAAAATAAAAGGAGGATGGAGAAATATAGAGAGATGTAAATATAATGTTCGTTTGTGAAATATATGTGTATATTATAAATTCATCCTGATTTCTCCTAATTCTATTATTACTCCAAAGTTATTATTACATAATATTTCCACGTACTTTATTTTGGTACAGCGATGATGTAGAAGTTGTATCTGACGTCAATGTTGTTGATTTAATTTAACACCTTTTACTATGAGAATGATATGTTGTTGTACGACTCTACACTTATCGTCTTTTAAAAGAGTAACGATATTTTTACCAATACAATTTGTCTGTAATTATGCAAATTACCCTAACTTAACCATGGTCATATCGATCAAACCGGTGTGATGAGAATGAAGATATCAGGAGGTGCTAATGTGATACCAAGCGGTGCTCCGGCCAAAAACCACTAGTCTCGTACTTAAATAAGTAAACTTACAATAGGATCACTCGAAATAGATGTCCATAAAAATATTGGCATGATATGATAATTTTTTTTTTTAAACGTGTTTATGTTAAAATTTACAAATGGCCGAAAAACACAGTTGTCCAGTAATAAAAAAAAACCGTAATTCCGAATTTTCCTTTGTTAAATATGTTATGGATATATATATGAGTTCTAACTCCTGACGAATTTTCAACTAAAAGGTCCTAAAAATACGGCTAAAAAACACAAAAAACCTTGCATCCCCCGTACCAAATAAATATCAACTCGATCCTACCCCTTTTTCAAAATTATAGTCAGTAAAAGTTGAATCTTCAAAATTATTATGGTTTTTTTTATTCTTCCAAATTTTAGTGATGAAGAAGTAATTTTTTTAACTTTTACCTTTTAAATTGAATAAAATAAAAAGGCAAATATGGTAAAAAAATTAAGTCTAGAAGGTTGTAATAATATGTAATAGTATAATATTACGATTGAAGGCGGTATAGGCCACGTTCGAAGAGGTAGACCAAGAATAGAATATACCTACATGCTGAAAATCCTAAAAGATGTGAAGAAAAATGAATACCTACCAACAATAATAAAAAATTAAGTCGTGATAGAAAGGCATGGATGATTTTAGCCAAACAATCTAAATATTAATAACAAGTACAGATATTACAGTCATACAAAAACAATTGACCCTAGACCAAATTTCTAACCCTATACACCCCCAACTGCGTTAAAAACCTCTAAATTGGTAATTTTTTAATGAATTTTCCGGGTTTTCCACAATAAACAAAATATGCATTATTGATAAAAATATGTTTATTTTTGCTGTATATAAATAAATGTGGCATAATATTGTTACTGCGCCATACTTGAATTAATTCGTAGTCCCTATGTTTTTGACACATAGGTACCCGACTCGTTTTGTCAAAGTTTTATTTTTTTTATCAAAGTACGATTTGAAAACATGACTACAACGACCATAATAAAAGGTCGTTTTAGGCGGAGACAATAATAACAGTTTCAAAAGGCGCAAACCGGGCCGCCGCTTATAACAATTAAATTTGTCTGAATAATACACTGAGCGCGTTGCTAACATACCACAATTATTATTTTGCGCATTAAGATTTCGTCTAAAATGTCTTTGAGATTCGAAAACGACATTGCGACACATTATTATTATTATAATTATTCTCAAAGATTATTTCTCTGAATTTGTGTTTATAACCAACAGAGGTTGTTCACCGGGTTTAAGGGCGTTGTCTTTACTAAGAACAAATATATATCTGACATTACTAGAATAATTGGGTTCAAGCGTTATATCCAGCTGTTAATGTATATTTTGTTAATTAATTTTTTGAATTATACCTTATGTTACTTATCTACAATAATATCGTACCTGGTTTGTACGTTGGACGATTTAATGAAGAAAAATTACATATTTTGTTTATCCATAAAAGCGGTATAAGAATATACATTTTTTTTTTGGAATTCTACTATATTTTTATGGAAATATTCAGACTAATCAAAAATACAAATCTAATAATAGCATTTTACCCATAATTTGTTTAACCATAAAATGCAGAACACGTGTATGTCGTTAAGCGATTAGGTTTTTTTCTGATGGCTTAAAACTTATTAAAAAAAATCGGTAGATTTTAAAGGCATTTCAAAAAGTTCGCTTTAAACAGTCATTGGTTCGTAGAAGTATTGTGTAATTTTAGTTAAAAGAGCATATTTTATTTATTGGTATGTTTCGACATAATTTGTAAATCTAATGGAAGACCTGGTGAAATATTTGTCGGACATCTTGTTGCACTTATTTTAACTGATTTTACATTATTTGCTGTCCAATTCTACAATCTAGTGCTGAACCAATAAAACTATTGTTTTTACAAATTACCCGCATTTTCCATGATTTTATTGATGGGTTCAACGGTTCCTGGAATCCTGCGAACAATGCTTTGCAAAGGTCAAATCCGGGCAAGTCCATTATATTAAAACAATCACCTTAGCAATAAAACCAAACCTACAAATGCAAATAAATGATTTTCTTGGTACTAAATCGCATTAAGATTAGGTCCAACAATGTTTTTGGTCATTTTCAATCCCAGCGGTCCGAAATCGAATAAGATCCCATTAGCCAAGGATGAACCAGGGTTTCTGACCTTTTTTTTAAAAATCGTTTTCAATGTTTCATTGGGGTCTTCATCTCATTGGGGTTCATTTAAGATTGACGTTTAATTTAATATGTGTCATTCGCTTTGTCGGAACGTAAAATGCCGATATTTCCGAAATGGCCATTCAGCTGACCAAGACGAAAAACTTTTGAAAGTATTGGAATCACTCTCTAATTCAAACTGATATTAATTTTATATCATTGCCATACGTTTTGTTGGTCTAATATCGACGCTATTCCGATGGGTAACGTTACTGTATTTCAGTAATTTTTATCTCCTTAATGATTTGAGTTCATTTTATTCTATCTATTAAATCTGAAATCTAGAAAAAAAAAAATGATCAAAATAATTTATTGATTAGTGGAGTAGAGTTTTTAATTGGATTTAGTCTCGGAAAGTGTGTACAGTGTTCAGAAAAATAAAATTAAAAATATATTGACAACTATTATCCTAAAATAAAATATATTATTCAAAACAAATTGAATCACAAGGTGGTAACTCGATAAAATTTAAAATTGTTTTAATTTTGTTAGCTCGTCTTTACCAACGAGTGAAGTATTTATTTAAAAAATATAGTTATTAATTAATTAATTAAATTTATTTACTATTAGCTAGGTAACATAAAAAAAAAACATTGCCAAGTTTTTAGTTTATATGAATATTGTGTAATAATATTATGTAATTGTAATAAACGACTGAATTCAGTTAATACTTTGTTTTTAATATTTGTATTGGTTCCGGAAACTATGTCAAAGGAAAAAATTTAACTAAAACAAATTGAAAAGGAATTCCTAATTCCACACTCCCACTTCTTGGGAAGAAACCAAGTTTGGGCTTTTAGAATACTATGAAATGCAAAATACGATAAAGCAAATGTTTATATAACGTGACTATTTTTAATTATATTCCTTTTTAAATGTAATGCACTCTTTTGACAAGCTAAATTAATAGTAATAACAATGATGATATTACTTTAACCAACTGACACTGAATATTAGAAAAGTTCAAATAAGTCAGTTATAATAACTTCTTCCAAGAAAAATCTTACCGAACCACTGTTTTATAACAATATTATAAACAATAATCTATAAGTATTTTTATTGATGTACAATTGTTATCAAAAATTAATTATATTATTAATAGAAAATTTTTCAAGTTGGACCGTCCTTCGGCTAATTTGTTATTAAATATCATAATATTTTATTAATATTTATTAATCTCCTTGGCGATACGGTACTTACTGTTAAACTAGATATTTTTCTAAGTAAGTATTTAGTCATCCATTTATATTTTAATAAAAACGATAATAACAATTGATATAATCTCTTTACTACAATACAAATGTTTTTTTTTTTGTTGTATTATTTGTTGCGTTTGCTTTATAACACTAGAAGCTTTTGGA